CAATCGTCAAAAATAGAAATTATATAATAGATCAGGAAGATCATGTAATACATACTGATAAATAAAAGTAAAAATCCATTTTTATTGCCGGAGTAAAAACGGTAAAGATCCGACATACTTCCGTTTTTTTTTTACTGGATAAAAAACGGAACTATATCGGATCTTCTAAAAAACGGATTTTTGCTAAAGTAAAACCGGGTTTCTTATATAGATCCATTTTTTATCCAGTAAAAAAAAAATGGAAGTATGTTGGATCTTTTAAAAACTGTTTTTACTCCGGCAATAAAAACAGATTTTTACTAAAGTAAAATCAGATTTTTTGTATAAATCCGTTTTTTATCCAGTAAAAAAAACGGAAGTATGTCAGATTTTTTAAAAACCGTTTTTACTCTGGCAATAAAAATGGATTTTTGCCTGATATGTTCGAAAATTTTTTTTTTACAGAGATATAAAAATTTCCTGATGATGTTTGATAATCGTATACCTGACTTACCTGATTCTAGACATGAATTATAATCATATGCTTGACATATACCGATTGTTTTTTCCAGGACCTCTTTAAGTAATGCTATATTCTTTTTGATTTCATTGATATCTTTAGTAATTTTATTACATAGAGTTATGGATTCCAAGACTTTTGATCAAACTTGTGTCTTGTTCACGTCCATTTTCTGATAAGATTACTCTAACAGCAATCCATTCAATTTTCAAATATATATATATTAACTCATGATAATTAATTTTGATTTGAAAAAATATTTTCTATAGTGTATACAACTTAAAGAATTACTCATAATCTAATCAACCTACTATAACATTCAAATATGTTAGCTATCATAACTAAAATCGTTGGAAACTACAATCTCAGCCCCAAGATGAGTGTGTTCGATCTCAGTAAATATATCTCAGAATTTCTTGAAAATCTTATCGATAATAGAAAGTGAAATTAAGCTCGATGACGTCTTTGGAATGATTTTAAATTTAGTAACGAGTAGGTAAGTATATTAATACCTAATCAGAGAAGCAGGAAAAATAAAACTATAAATTTGGTTGAAGATAATTATAGAATAGCTATAATCAAGCCTCCAAAAAGTTTGGAAGAAGAGATTGTTAAAGAGAAAGCAAAATGAATCTTGCAAAATAGATATGGATTTAGTAAAGATCAAGTAAACGTCTTATTCTCAATTCAGAAAAATGGAAGTAGTCACAATGTAACTACCTTAGCTAAAAATATAAATATTGTGATTTTCAACAAATCCTCGAAAGGAATAGAGAAAAAAACTATTAGAGATATGGTGCAATAGATTTTACGAGATAAACTTAGCATTAGAGATATAAGAGCTGAAGCTTATGCCTTAGTCCTATCAGCAAAAAATGCTAATGTTGGCTTATCACGTCTCACTCATCTTTGTAGAGAATTAAGGAATCTTAATGCATCACTTGAGATAATTGAGGTTACAAAATTTCCAGATATTACAGAAGATGCCAACAAAATTCAGAGTGTCAATCAGAAAAAAGCTGAAGCTAAACGTATTGATTATTCAGATGAATTTACATTAGAATCGGTCAAAGAAAGGTTAAATGCGTATAATTTAAAAACTTCACCTGATTATCAGGCTCTTGCTGATATTATAGTAATGCTTTGTATCCATCTTGCTAAACTTATGACTTTACGTATTACAGATGTTGGAGTAACAGGATATGCAAAAAATCAGGGTCAACCAGATATTCCTAAAAAATTTAGATCTATGGAGAAGGATCAAAAATGAGCCAAAGAACTACTCACTTGAATTCAGTATACTATATCATCTAGATGAATGAGTGATCCAGATAAGCCAGGAGTTAAATAGTTCAATAAATTCTTAAAAGATTATGATTTAATTCCAAATACTTATGAAAAATAGGTGCTGTTTATAGTGTAATAGTACACGAGACTAAGAATATGATCCATGCTTATATTATTGCTGGAGAATGTCTATGTCACAACCCTGATATTACGACTAGAAATTTATATAATTTCCATAATTTCCATAACTTCATAATTTTTATAATTTACAATAATTACAGTAATTACCATTATTTACAACAATTATCATAATTATCATCATTTACATAATATTTATTATTTATCAACTTATATAATTAATTATAAATATAACATTTATTAGTAAAAAATATTTATTATAAATTAAAGCTTTGAAAAAGGTATTAATTGATCAATATAAAAATCTAGCTAGTCAATAAACTATTCCTTGTTTATTGTTAATGAAATTTGTATATTTAATTAATTAAACAATAACTTATTAAAATACTTGTATTTATTGCGCATTATTAGATAACCACCAAAGTTACTATAGAATATTAGTACTGTATTGCTATAGAACTGTCCCATACTAAGTAGATATAATATCTATTAGTAATAGTAAGAGCCTATCTACGAGATAGAAGAAAATGCACTGCATGGTGATTCTGAAGTATACTCATTATGACAAGATCAAGTAACTGTAAAAATACTATCATTAGATGTTGATTGAACATCTATGACACGATTATACCTATCAGGAGCCTAATTATGACACTGATAACTATACTTCTCCAGTACAGAATTATGTTGTAGTAAATTATCAGAAAAAAGAACAGATTCCAGAGCAAGCAAGACCATTCCATTTATATGATGATGATAACTAATTACACTTCTTTGCTTTTATCATATTTATAGCAAAATCTTTACCATTAGATCATTCATAACTAGATCCAGATGAAAATGAGGATGAGGACTCAGATGTGATATCATTTAAAATTTTCTTTTTTCTTTTAGTTTTGCATGATGTATGATTTCTTTGAGAAATATCTGGATTTGCTATTAAGTCAATAATCTTTAGTCCAATCTCAGGTTTCACTATTTTCATTAATTGGTGAAGAGAAATCGAAATTCTTCTATATGATATCTGTTTAATAATTTTAGGTACTAATTTCGAGATATTATTACCAGAGACAACTGTTTCATAGCTATTATTAACTATTGGATTTTAATTAATTTATTATTAATATACAGAAAAAATATAATTAAATATATTATAACTTATCATGAAAGTAAAGATAGTTAAAGCTAAAGTAGGGAAGCAAAAAGTTAATTGTCATCTCGAACTAGAATTTCTCGGTCCGTCTATGTAAAGTAATAAGTTTCTCAAGAAAATTAATAATGAAATTAGCAGAAAGTTAACTTCCAAAAAAAAGATAGTAAATTCGTCAGAGAAGAAACAACAACTTCACTTGGATTGGTTATAATTCCACTTACATTTACTTCTAATATAATAAATAATTATCGCCTTAATAATTATGAATTCATCACAATTCCAACTGAAGTGCTTGTAGAGAAATATAATTATAAAACATCCAATTATATCCTACTTGGTAATAATTAGTTCTATAACAAAAGTGGAATTAATGATAAAATCTAACATTATTTATCAGAAATAGTAACAGATGCAAAAAATACTTTTGTAAGAACTACATTGCATATTAAAAATCTCAGTGAGAAGAAAAAGGATAGGATAATAATATCTGTTAATAAAAAAGATATTCATGATTTTTACAAATCACTTCCTGGGAAATCGAAAGATTCACTATATTACAGATCAAATATCTCTGCAACTTTTAATTCGGATACTTCCAATTCAAATACTTCAGACAGCAATTCTGATAATTTTTCCACATCTAGTTCAGAAATATCCTAATCATTCATGATTTATGCTATGCAGGGTGTAAGTCACCCTCAAATAATTATATATAGTAGCAGAAAATATGTAATTATTTACTGAGTTATTTTTTTGATTATATTATACATTATCAAATAATATCGCAGGATATGCATTATTCTGTAATAATTTTCTCTTCTTTACTTTTGATTCTAGACATGAGCACTGATCGGTGTTAGTATAATTTTTTACAAAAATTTTGTATAATTGTTGAGGAGAAACATTTGGAAATAATGAAAACTCCTCTTCAGTAAAATAAAATATTTTTATCCCCTTGTCAATGAATTTTTGTATTAATACATCTTCTAATAGACTGTAAAATTTCTCAAACTTTCAGAGATATACTTTTGCATTTTTATCGGCTTCTTTCATCATTTCTTGATTAGTATAGCCAATAATACTGATTTTTTCCTGAATTGTCACTATATCATCTTTTAAGCATAAAAGCAAATCAAATAATCTAATTGATTTATCTGAAGAGATTTTATCCCTTCTAAGTTCTGCTTCTAAAACAGGATTGATATTTATATCAAGTTTCTCCTATATAAGTATTAAATCCCTCACTAATTCTAACAACAATTCATATGAATCAGCAAGTTTTTTTGCTTTCTTGCTCTCTGATACTGTCGTTTAATTTATATTACTATTAATATCAAGTTTTTCTGAATAGTTATTATATCTTTTTTCTTATATAAAAACATCTCATATAATTTTTCACTTAGATTAGTTTTATTATTAGTATTACTCGTTATGATTGTTAAAATATATAATATAATTAATGCGAAAAATAATGCATAAATATATAAATTAAGTGAATATAACAAATTCAATCTGAAAATAATTATAATCACATCATAATTGTAAAATTACATCATGTCATAATGGGTCTCAGGGGAGTGATGTTATGTATTTTAAATCGATGAGTTAGAGATCAACCCATGGGATATAGATAATCAGTGATAGAAAAAAACAATTAGTTTGTTAATCAAGATTGATAATGCATAACATATCCGAAAAAATAGTGAATATCGAGTTGAATTGATCAGACCTTCAGGCGTCTCTACAGACATGATATTAATATTCAAAATTAATAGTCTACACTTTCACTGTTACTATTTGAATTGAATTTTGATAAGTCTCCCAGCATTTGAGATGATAAGTTTTTGTATTAATATAATTACTACTACTCCATTCACCTTCTATATTATCTTTTATATTTTCTTTTTTATGGTCTTTATTATATATAGGGCAGGTCGTTGAATAGTCAAAATAATTGCTATTCCTGTGATAATTGATGATATATTTATTGTAAAGCAATGGGCTTCACCCTACATTAAAATACTTAAATTTTTCACTATATAAGCATTAAATTATACTCCATCTGGTAATGAATCCTCAGCTTTCAATCCACGTTAGGTGCATAACAAATCTAAAGGAAATATTGTCTGTTAATTTTATATAAATATGTACAAGGTCAATTACTTACTGATAGTTCCTCACCTTTTATCACATGCTCTTTCTGGTATCTCAGTTTGACTTTTTTTCAGTTGGAAGAGTCTGATCCAGCTATTTAGATTTTGTGCATCATTTAGATCCTGTTGTGGAATTGTAGAAACAATTGATCCTTGTAAATTTCTCTCAATTCCCATTTTTAGATCATCATAAATAGACAAAAAGTTACACATATTATGGAAAAATAAGCTATGAACAAAATAAATAATGCTATGATAGATCTCTTTTATGACGGATAGATTATTATGCAATAATAGACGTAAGAAAAATGCGACAACTTGTTCAGGTCAGAGTGCTACCACAATCTCGAGTTGAGAAAAACATAGTTCTCTATCTTCAAAGTTACCAAGTGCAACTAAGTAACATAAAGAATTGAGCTCGTCGTGCTCATCCCAATGGAAGGCACTGATCATATTAAAATTAATCATGATCATAGGAAAAATCCTGAATAAACATGATGAGAATGCTCTTCAAGACAAATTACTTAGTTTTGTGTATATATCCTCATAATTTTTTTCAACAAAATGGTTGATGCAACTAGATAATGATACCAGCTCACAAATTAATATATCAATATATTCTTGATATTTGGAGTTATGTATACTGGCTGTGTGTGAACTAGTGTATGAAAGAAGATTATATAATATATATGTCCCAAAATGTTCGATAAAGTTCTCCCAAAATCCATCGCTTCAGTGTGAAGGATTATTTAATATATGAAAATAGTATCTATTTACAGTGTCTATTGCCTGTATTACAGCAATTTGATCGTCTAGTTGTTCAAGATGGATCAAGGTTCGATCATCCATATCTGTAATGCACTCCGATTTCACAACATGATGAAATTCCTTTAATTTGTCAAGTGAACTAAATTTATCTTGTATTGTCATAGATAGTTGGATCTTTCTTTTCTGCATATTACGTATGATTGTAATATCAAAAATTTCTCACAAATCTTTATTATTTTGGAGCTCTAAATCATGTCGAAGATTTATCTATCTTAATTTAAGATATTGTCGCACTTGCCTTTTTTTAATAGGTCCATTTTTATCTAAACCCAATTACCAACCAAAAGTGATCCATAAACATTTTTTCATATCGATAGATGAAAGTTCATTAGTTTCATCATCGTCGTTGTCGTCATCATCATTTTTAGAGATTATCTTCAACTAACACCAAAAAATCTGGAGGTATTTCTAACATCTCAAGAGAATTCGTAATAGACTGAGCTTCTATAATAAGCGTCAGGATCAATAAATTATGTGTGCTTAAATCTTGAATCATCTTGATTCTTTTGAGAATATTTGCCCCTGTAAAAAAAAATAAAAGACAAAAATCAGGAAAAAATCTGGTTTTTTAGTTCCGGAAAATCACAGGTTTTGTAA